CAGCTGGGATTCGGGAGGCAGAGAATAGATGGGGGAGGGGCCAGTCAGAGGTGGTACTTACCGGTTCTCCAAACAACTCAAAATTTCCACTACTGTTTCTCCAGAACTAGTCAGAACCTGCTAAATACCACCGCTGATATACAGTCAATATATCACTATTAACGTACTCACATATTTGACAATCAGCGCTACTTTGGAAATTCATACAAAACAACTTTTTCTAACACATAAGGGTCCTTCCTTTTTAATATCTACATGAAACCCCTGGGTAGATCATTCAGTGGCATGGAGTGCAGTCAGGGGTGGGCTTTTGCCTCCCCCTGGTTCCAGAGGCCCTCTGGAGGCCAGAAATGGGCCCATTTCTGGTCTTCTGGAACTTCCGGGAAGCCTGTTTTCACATCTCCCCGAACCGCCCCATGGGCCCTGCACTTACCTTGCATCCAAAACAGGCCACATGGAGACTTGTGGGAGGGGAAGGGTGCGAGGGGCCAGCCAGGGGTGGGATTTGGAAATTCTTCGAACTGGCCATAATATTAGCTACGGGTTCTCCCAAACATGGGCGAAACCATAGCAGCCTATCCCTGAGTGCAGTATCATCACTACTCTGATTATATCCAGTTATACATCTCCACCCTTTTCTGGACAGGGAATGTTGTTGCAATGCTAACCAAATGCCTGAAGGCTATGATGATCTGGATAGAAAGCAACTGACTTCAGCTCAGTCAGTAAATGGAGCGATTTTGAGTTTTTGGTCCCTCAAGGTCTCATAATATGTCATCGACTCTGGATGGAACTGGCTTCTCCAAAATGAGCTGGTACACTATTTGGGCAGCCTCCTTGATTCATAGCTCTTAATCAAGTAGCAGGTAGAAGCCATGACTGGGGAGAATTTTCACAGATTTGTTTTGTGCATCAATTGCACTGTTCGGGCTGAGGTACTGGATTTTTTAGTTCTTAGTTTTAGTTTCATCTTTATGATTTTTTGGTTGGTCTTTTCATTACTGTTCTGAGCAACTCAGAATCATGTTTTAAGATGGCCAGCCACACAAACTTTTTTAAAAAAAAAAATAATATATATTTTTGAAAAAATTCTGGCCTAGAGATGGAGGAGATAAAGACATCTATCTGCACACTGCAGCTAGCCTTATATAAAAGATAGCTGAACAGCAATAAGAAGATTAAGAAGAAGAGAACTAATAACAACTAATGCAGTTATAAGAACAAGTGATAAGAATGTTAACTATGTTCATATCATAAAACCATTACTTTAAATCATAATCACAGGAATAAAATAATGTATCTACTTTCTTGAACTTTAAAAAACCCACTAAAATAAACCACAGTAGTGGATGGTAATGGTACATATGAGAAATCTACACATCTGTTGTCTGATAAATTGTCACTTCTCACTTGCTACAAGAAGCTGATGGCATTGGAATGATAACAAAATGGTGCCAACATTAGACATTGCAGTTAAATTAGTTATTGTGGGGTAGACTGCAGGCTTTTCAAACATAAAATAAAAGTTTAATGTTGCAGCCAAAGGTCATGCTATTTCATTTTGGTTTTGCTGTCTTGTCAATAAAAACTGTCAAGGTAGAAAAATCCACGAGAATCAGATTTAAAAAATGGTACACAAGAGTAAACAAGTAAAGGAAAAAAACTGTCAAATATTTATAGATTGTAGGGTATTTTAATGCATCCAACATTCAAATGGAATTTTAATGTAATGTATGTATGAAAATTGAATTAAATGGCCTTCATTCCAAGTGTTTTGGCTTAATAATCCGGGAAAATTATTAAAGGAAATTATTAAGTATCATTATTAATAGAAATTAATATTAAATAAATATTGAAATTGTGCTTTCCAAAAGAGGAAAACCTTTGTTGTCAGAAATAACAAATATGTATATTTTTATGGTAGTATGGTACTTAAGTCAAAGCAAATTGACAGTAGATAAGACTCAATGGAATTCAAGGTGGGCTGGACTTAAATCTCTTGTGGGCACAAAGGGAATCAAGACGGATGACATATTTGACCTCTCCCTCGGGTTCAGCCTGGTCATCTTCTACACTGAACACTAAATTGGCGCCAGATAAAGGTCAACAGAATCCAAGTGAACACAAGGACTCTAAACTGATGACTATTTAACTCTATCCTCCAGTACTGCCTGTTCTTCTCCTGCACATGGATTCTTTTGCTAGTTTTGTTCTGTGGCATTGAATGAAATCATAATTTTACCTTCCTTTATTTTTAGATCTTTAATTTTCTAGAAGCACTGTAGTAAGAGTTGATAGAATATTTGCTATGAAATGTCCATGGTTTTTTGGAGGTTCTTTGCCTCTTCTATTAGTTGCTTTAACAGCTTGTCAAAAGAATGTACTAGGGATTCCTATCAACAACTTTGCTGAAAGCAAGGTAGATTTCATGGGAAATGTGGAAGCTGTCACTATCTTTTCAAATTACTTTGTGTCCGCTGGAGGTATGATTAGAGTTAATGCTGTTGCGTAGACCAAAGGCATCATTACTCCCTTTCATAATATGGAAGTGTAGAAATTACTGATAAGACAATAATGGTTCCCTAAAATGCATCCTTAGGACATTTCCACACATCTGTCTCACTCTCTTATCTGGTACTGCAGTTGTGCACAAATGAATGTGTATCCTCATTAGTTTTCTGTGGGTCTAGGATAGATGAGAAAGGGGATTCAGCTGACCATAAATGAAACTGAAAAATCAGCATTTGAGCAATCACCTCACCCTACATCTTTCTTGATTGCATCTGGTTTCCAGAGAGAAAAAACATGTGACTATTTTGACAGAGAGAGAAGTGCTTGTTAAATTTCTCCTGTAGATAGTCACATGCTACCTGATGCTTCAGAAACTGCAAGGCATTATGGAATGAAACAAAATCAGGAGAGTGAGAAGAATCAAATCATTTCTTAATAGTAGCTGTCTGACTAGGGAAAACTAGACCTCTTTGGGACTAAATCAATTCCTTCTAAGCTATTTGAACAACTTATTTTTTCCATTTTGCAATTTCCATGACTTGTTTGACCTCTACTCCCAAGACTTATTGAAGCTGATCGTGTCAGATCATCTGATGAAAAGGACATCTAAGCCATGAAGTCCAATTCTGGAGCAGAGTTCCCCAACCCTTCTGGCTTTGCGGACTGGCAGGGGAAAAAGAGATGATTCTCCATGAGCAGCAGTGCACAGCTCCATTTCTACAAGTGGAGGGCACGCACAGCAGTTGCTCACACAAATGGGGGCATGTGTGCAAGTGCTTACCTGCTGCTTTCAGGAGTGGGGATGTATGCTTATGGGTGCACTCACCCACTCCTTTCACAGCCCGGTTTAAATGACTCAAGTCCTGGTAATAGGCTACAGCCTGGGGGTTGGGGACTCCTGCTTTGGAGAATAGGTTGAACTCTTCTTCTTTGTGTCAGCCCTTTAGATATTGGAAGACTGTCCTTTTTTTCATTAAATATTTGGATGGCCAAAACTGGAGGAAATATTCCAAGTGTAGTTTTATCAAGGCATTTTAAAGTGGTTCTAACACTGCGTGTGATCTTGATTCTGTCCCTCTGTTAATGCAGCATAGGACTGCATTGACCTTTTTGGCAGCTGCAGCACACTGCTGGCTCATATATAAATGATTGTCCACTAGAACTCCAAGATCCTTCTCACGGTTGCAACTATTAAGGCAAGTTCCCACTATTCTACACCTGTGCATTTGATTTTATTTGCCTAAATGTAGACCCTTACCTTTCTCACCATATACAGACCAGACCCCTTTGTTTAAAATCCCCTTACTTTCTCTCAGTATCACTGTTGAAAATAATGGCATGGATTTGAGCTACAAATATTCTCCTTTGATACTTCTGACACCCATCTATATGTCTGAGCCTAAGGTGAGTTAAGCAATGCCACAAACTCCCTCCACAATGCCTGGAGGCGCTTAAGGTCTGCATAGAGAGTAACAGGCTAAAACGTGAACCTTGGTAAGATGGTTTTGGGGCTCTTCGGTCCATGGAGTATTGGGGTTTTTCTTAATAAGTGCTCCCAGATTACGCAGACCCAGTGCATAATCTGGGAGTGTGTGTAACTCATGGCTGGAAGGGCCTTTGGACAACTGAAGAGTGTGTGTCAATTGCACCCTTTCATGGACCAACAGTCCCTGTTCACAGACCGCCAGGCCTATTCACCTCCCATCTTGATAATTGCAATGTGGTCTACCTGGGGTACCCTTGAAAAGTATCTGGAAACTTCAATTGGTTCAAATGGTGACAAAAGTCTACATTTGCATGTCACCTCTCTTGTGGGAAATGCATTGGCTGTCAATTTGCTTCTTGGTCCTATTCAAGACGCTGATTATTAACTTTAAACCCCTACATAGCCTGGAGCCAAATTTTTTGAAGGGTGACTTTTTCCAATTATAACTGGCCAACCCACCAGAGTAAGAGGCAGGACTTTTATGGGTTTTCTCTCTTAAGGTTTAACTGGTGGTACCAAAAAGGGCCTTCTCCGACATCATCTCTGTAGAAATAAGATTGGTCCTACTTTGATACTCTTTCGAAAGAGCACAAAGACATGCCAATGGGCCTGAGGTCCCCCAAAAATACAGAGCCAATCAAGAGATTGGTTTGATTATTGTCATCAGGTGGGCAAAGTGAGGCAGTATTTATTTTGTATTGCTATTTATTTGTTCTGCAAGCTACCCAATGTCACTGTGGGTTGGAAGGCCATGTAAATTTTCTAAATAAATAAATAAAATCTTCAGGTATACTTTATGGAAAAAATAATCCCATTACATGACCTATGACCTAGGCAGATTTAAAAACTTTGGATTCATTGTTTTAAAATTGTTCTTTTACACTTTGAAAGGCAACATTAGGTTTAAAGAGAAAGCAAGGAAGAAAGCCAGAATCTCATCTAAGAATCTTTGTTGTATTTCTTACTGCAACTAAATAAGAAAAACCAATTCCAGCCATTTATATTGATTAAAACAAGTTTATTTCAAAAGATATATTTCTACCTCTAAATATAAAATATAAATTTCCCTATTATTTGTCTACAAGACATACTTGATCAAACAATATGATCTGATTAATTATGGAAAACCTATGATTCAAGGTAGTGATTCAAGAATGGTATATACATAATTTTTAAAAAGCAAAGTATTTAATACAATGAAATATTTTAATATATTTTATTTACATTCTTTGATATATTAACATCTGGCTACCTACTATACCTATAAGGTAAAATAATATAATGCAATTAATTTTTTGCAAAACCCTGAGACATACGTCTATTGATTCAAAATGAGAGAATCAAAGTCAGTGTAGACGAATCTTACTCAGGCAAAACATCAATTCTGTTTTCTGTCATTAGCCAAATGCCTTTGTACGATAAACTAGGGATACTGTGACTTCTATCAATCTGAGGATTACACCACACTTTATGTGGTGCATTGATCACTCTCCAGAGTCAGAGTGGATAGATTTTATACTGTTTCGGGTTTTTAAATGGTGAAATAGTTTGCTTTTAGAAACAAAAGAACTGAAATCTTTGGGACCATTGAGTCACAAAAATCAGTTTTTGCATCCTATCATATGCAAATATGTATACAACAACTTTTAAAACAACCAGTGTTTCAAATTATACTGCCTCTTAAAATTCATATTCCTCTTCAATTCCTCTTGAGCATGATAGAGGTATCATGCTAAATAGCTACTGACAATTCTATCATCTACAAAGTCATAAAAGCCAGTGGTCATCAGTATCTACAGTGCAAATAATGAATTGTTGCATGTTGCTACATAATGAAAATAAAGTACTGTCTTTAAAAGTATTGCTATTAGAATATAACAGGTAGTCCTAATTTATTTGATTCTTAGAACTTTTTTTACAAATGAAGTTTATATATGACATGTAATCAACATCATTTTGATCAAATGGTGATCATTTTTTTGATCATTTTTAGTCTCTAATTGAATCTGTCATATAACTGCTTATTTATTCTAATTGAACTCTTGATTTTTTTGTTACAAACATGAATAATTTTATGTAATTGAAAAACTCAATTATCATCAGAAAGTATTAATTTGAAAAATAATTAACAAAAGGCCAGCTTTATTTTTCTAAATCTTCATAAATTATTGCTGTGACTAATGAAAACACCATATAGATAATGTTACTTTATAAATTGTTTTGAAAACAATTTAACAATTATGTTTAAAAAAATTAAAACTTTACTGAATTCTACACAGAATTTCCCACTATAAAAGGTTTAAATTATTAGAACTTTCATTACATTTAATTAACTATACCTACTCAAAATAACTATAAAGAAATACATAAAAAGAAAAAGTTAAAATATTAATAATTTTTTAGTATTCTTAAGAATACTCATCTTCTATAACATAAGCCACAGCAAAAATGTCTGCTCATTATATATTATTCTTAATATTTGCTATACCCTGATGCAAAGTCAGGATAACACCATAAACAATATAGTACACTGAATAGAAATTACTTTTGGGTAGAAATATGAAAGACTATAACTGTCAGTTTTGTTCTTGATATGTTGAATTGCTTAATGGAGTAATTCAAATGATTACAGAATGCTTCGTATGAAATATTTTCAACTGTGAAGAATTGTTATTAACCCACTATACAATAGTGAACAAAATATTCTTGTTTCACAGAAACAACAAACATTTGCCTCCGTTGGACAAATGGTATATTTACAGTTACATGGGGGCTGCCTAACTGACAGCGAGTATGGGTCATTTTTACTCATGGAGCTTAATAGACTGATGATCTCTGCTGACTCGTCTTTCCTTTTAAGATTCGTCTTATCTGAGAAAGAAGAAATAGAAGGGAAAAAGCCCAATTATTCAACAGCCATTAATACAATATTATATAAGTCTAACAGTATGCAGTATGCTTATGATTACGTTGCTTAGTAACACAATTCTGGTCCAATTTAATATTATAGCCTGAAGACTAACTGCAAAATTGTAAGCACAATTGTAGTTTCACTTAGCAACCTCTTGGTTTAATGACCCAGTTGCCAGTCCCAATTGTGGTTGCTAAACAAGGACTATCCTGTATTTTATTAACCTGAAAATAACATCAACACACTGCTTATTGAATTGCTCACGGAATAGTTTCTGTAAGACATCAGATCTTAATTCCCAAAAGAACTATCCATTTAGAACAGAAAGGGTTGACGTACATCTCTCTCTCTCTCTCTCTCTCTCTCTCTCTCTCTCTCTCTCTCTCTCTCTCTCTCATAAACACACACACACACACACAGCTGTGGGTGTGTATGTTCCAGCATAACTCTGGAACACCTCAAGCAATTTCAACCGAACTTGGTACGCAGATGACTTAGTCTCTGGAAAAAAGTACTGTGAGGGTATTCGTAAAAACACTCCTAAAACCCCTAGGGTTGTGTGTTCTGTTAAGATATAGCCTGTTGTGCCTTAAAATGACTTCTGCTGTACTGCTGTAAAATGGCTGCTACTGTGCAGCGCAGTGGAGTTGCTATGGTAACGGCTTCACAGTACTCCACAAGGGGGTTCCCTCTGGTAAGGGGGAAAATCCAACATTAGAAAGTACATTTGGTCCTGACATTTTCCCCCTGTAAATAAATACCGTGGTAACGCCGGGTTATTGGCTAGTAATTTATATTTTCCAGGTGCATGATGAGGAGCACTTATTTCCTTTTTTTAAGTTACTGAAACTAGAATAGCGGAGCTCATTGATTTATACATGCTCTGGAATTTGAAAAAGCTTCCCCTAAGGATGCAAACTTTAATGGAATAAACAAAAAAAAACTTCTATAATGATAAAGGACACTCTAAAAGAAACATATTTGCAAAGCATCTTAGATTTCAAGCCTTGAAAAAGGTTTCTATTTTTATAAAAAATATTAATAAACTCAACATAAGGGATGTCTCCCTACTTTTGTAGTTTAATTTCATTCCAGAAGGAAGCAAAATAAGTCATCAAAGAAAGCAACATTTTCAAACCAGTTTATTACAAAGATATTTTTTTTAAAAAAATCTATGTGCCTGTCTCCTCATTCTGTAACAGGACTATCATAGGAAAGAAAGAAAAAAGCACAAAGTGTGAAATCTACTTCACATAACCACCAGATTTCAGATATCTTTTATCTCTTACCTCAACTCCAACAGGGCTATCGGGAACCAAGTGAACTGGCTGCTCGTTTTCCAAATTCCTGGCACTTGGATCAGCTCCTTTGCGCATCAACAAACGAACTGCATCCAGCTGAGTCATTCGATGCTGCAAACTAGCGGCTACATGGAGTGCAGTATTCCCATTGTAAGCCTAGTTACAAGAGAGAAAAATCATTAATTGAAAGGAAATGAGAAGCAGGTGGATTATTTCTGCCAATATGAATTCCCTAAACTAGACACATGGTTTGTTGTTTGTATACCTTGGCATTGATGAATGAGAGACAATTTGGAAGCTCTAAAAAAAGTCGAAGGAGTTCCACATTTGCTTCTTCCGCTGCTAAGTGAAGGGCTGAACGGCCACTTTTACGGTCCTGTCCATACACAAAAGAAAATGTCCAAATATTACACACTGCACATTTAGTCATTGTAAAATGTAAGAACACACACAATTAGTAACCATAAATAAAAACATAAAATATACTTTGAGGAGCAGTTTCTTTGTCTTCTTAAATAATGGCATTATCTTTGAAATGTTACAGACTGGAGATGAGCCTAATGATTAAACTAGATGAGCCCCGATGGCACCATGGTTAGAATGCAGTATTACAGGCTAATTCTGCTCATTGTCAACAGTTCGATCCTGACCGGCTCAAAGTTGACTCAGTCTTCCATCCTTCTAAGCTCAGTAAAATGAGGACCCAGACTCTTGGGAGCAGTATGCTGACTCTGTAAACCTCTTAGAGAGTTCTATAAAACACTGTGAAGTAGTATATAAATCTAAGTGCTATTGTCTAAGCACTAGATAAGAAATTATATAGGAATTAAGGAGTTAGGAGGGTATTTTTATTATCATTATTTGTTTCAGAAATAGAGACAAATATTTGCAGAAATAATATGATACCTGCAATATTAGTCAACCATTAACTCATTCATGTGCCTTGCTTATTATTCAGTATTGCTCCATTACAAGCTTGGACAGTAATCTGATATTTATGAATACTAATTTAAGTGAGACTTTTTCCTTTTTACATGGTAATGTGTGAGAGGAGAAAAAGCAAAATGAAATTTAAAATCAGTGTATTATTTCAATAATGTAAAATACAAATTATTATTTTGGCTTAATACTGGTCACTTTATGTGCAACACATATACATTTAAAAAACTACAGAATACAGAATACTACAGAATATAAAACATAAAGATCAAACTGAACTCACAAATATAGAGTGCTATATACTTTGAATATTCTATGAATGTGTCACATCACATGACACATTCTTCTAAACATCTATATCTTCAAACAGATGCAAAAAAAACAGTATGTGATTCATTTGTCAGGTAAACTAAGTCTGTTCTAATGTTTCCTTATGTGACTTACTCTGGCTTCAACAGAGGCCCCCATCTGAATTAGATATTTGATTGTATCTGCCAACTTCTTGCTTTTCAACCTTAATTCCTGGACTTCAGGAGTATGAGGTGACTGCTGCCCCTGTAGTTCATGTACCACGGCATTATGAACCACAACTGCACAGTGCAATGCTGTCAAACCTTAATATGAAATATGAACATGAAATCAGTGAGCAAAACAAAAACACAAATCACCTTGTTCTAATCAATAATGTATTAAAAACAATAGTCATTCCAAAATCTAGATTTCATTTTCATGTTATTTGTAATGCATAACTTTAAAGGAATTTTAATCTATGCTCTAGTTAGTGACATGCAATAGAGATAGAATTAAGAAATGGCAATTGAAGAAACACATGTATTTTTATTCATTTAACTTCATTATTTGATAAGTTTGTCTATGTCTAGAACATAGAATATAAGAATATAGTTATTATCTATATCTAGATAAAAGAAAAAGGTTATAGGTTTAATTTTAAACAAAAAATAAATAAATGTTCAAATTTAGTGTTGGATTACATTTGAAGCTATTTCCATAATGTATTTTACTTAAAAGTGAATGTCATTAGCAAGAGTAAATGTGTTGTACAACATGCCCAGTACAAGTTCTGAGCATCAGCACTGGAACCTGAACATTTTTAATTGGGTAGTTTACCCACTTAACACACAATGTAGGAATATTAGTTGCTCACCCTCATAATTAGTTCCTTCCAAATCAACATATTGATTGCTTACAATGGCTCCTTTTTGGATTGCCTGAAAATGAAATGAGAATCTACATTAACTATACATGTAACAGTAACTGAAATATGAAGGCATGAGATCAAATTTATATAATTCAGAAAAGTTTATGCCATTACAAATATTCAATATTTGCATAACAATTTGTTAAAAAACAGCACTTTCAAACTAGACAATTTCTGTTTGTGGTCCATTGTCTTTCAGTGTATTAGAATTACAATTCACAGGAACAAAAAACCTGACTATCATTTGAAACAAACAATTAGAAAATAACCAAATATCTCCTCAGAATTGCAGAGATAATTGCTGCAATGTTCTTGTTTGCCATTGTTTATATTGTGTGTGGCGGAAGGAAGTATGAAATGGAGAACAGAATTAACTTATGAGAGCCACTGTATTATCATTCAATCAGTCAGATCCCATGAAGAAAATGCAAAATTAATTTTTCTTGTGTTTCAACATGAGATTGGAAAGGTTATATACATCATATTATAATACTTTATAGACTTTGAGCTTCTGAGCAATTAAAATTAAACTGGATGGTTAAAGTTCAGTTAAAACTATACTTCCGCTCCGGGATCTTAACAGAAACTTAACAGAAAGTATACTATATTAAATCCTTAAATGTATAATTATAGGTGTTGATATATTATACATGCTAATAAAGAGAAAATGGCAAATGCAATGGTTCCCACCTGAAGGACTTGTGCATGACCCTTCTCAGCACACACATGCAGTGGAGTTCTACCCCAGCAATCTGTAGTATTCACTTGTGCTCCAAGACTAACAAGATCCTGGACAATAAGGTGTTGATTTGCAGCCACAGCTACTTGCAAGGCACTCTAGAATAACAAAAAGCAGATTTATTAGACACTGTAATGGCAATTAAGAAAACAAACCATATAAAAGCCTTTTCAATGAAGTAAAACCATTTCCGTGAACAGCTCCTTAATGAAATTAGCTTGGATTGTATAGTTTAGCAAATAATTCTGTTGCATACAGATTGCACACTAAATTTCCAATTTCATATTAAAAGACAATCTAAATAGGGTTTGATAAGAAAATAAATGAAATAATCATGGACATAAAGTGGGAATTTGCTATGCTGAGAGAATCACCTGGCCATTGTGCTCTTTAATATCCAACATATGCAGGGCTGCCATCTTCCTTGCCAGCACATAGGAAACTGCCCGTCGTCCCTGGGCAACTGCAATGTGGAGAAATCTGTGGGGGAAAATAGAAATTAGCACAATATCTAAAGCTGAATAACCATATCCATTTCAGATGTTTTAAAAATATGCTTCATTAGATGATAGTATTATCATCTAATGTATTCTTTCATCATATTTAGGCATGGTGCCAGATATAACAGAATAACACCATTGGAAGGGATCTTGGAGGTCTTCTATTCCAATCCCCTGCTCAAGCAAGACATTTTATATCATTTCAGACAAATGGTTGCCCAATCTCTTCCTAAAAACCTCTCATTGAGGAGCACCCACAACTTCTGAGGGCAAGCTATTCCACTGATTAATTATGCCGCCTGTCAGGAAATTACTCCTTATTTCTAAGTTGGTTCTCTCCGCTTGATTAGTTTCTATCCATTCCTTTTGGGCTGCCTTCAGGTGCTTTAGACAAAAGGTTGGGGTTTGTGGCAACCCCTGAAATATTGTAACAGTGCTATCATGTCACCCCCTAGTTCTTCCTTTCATTAAACTAGACATACCCAATTCCTGCAACCATTCTTCATATGTTTTAGCCTCCTAACCACCCTTGTGACTGTTCTCTGCAGATGTCATTATCATTAATGTACTACAGAGCTCTTTGTTCAGTCAATGAATAGCAGCCTAAACAAATAATGATGATTCACCATTTCTACTTCTGCAGTAAGTAATATTTGGACAATACTCACGTGTCACCATCAGAATCTTTAGCAAGAATCTGGTCTTGAGAAATGTTGGCCATTTTGTTTTCTTCCTGTTCCACTTGCCACTGGAAAAATGATTTGCCCAACGGACTTGTGCTGCCTGTACTGCTCTGAAGTTGCAGTGATATATCTGAAGAAGACAGAGATAAACTATGTTCCTCAAGGCCCCTGGAAGTGTTATCTGAGACTTGGTTGAAATGCTGAGAGCAGCTGCTGACTTCAGTTTGCTGGAGGCCACTAGGAATTGCTTGAGGGAGTGGAGCAGAGATGTTGTCTGATCCTTCTGAGTCATTTAAAAGCGAAGCAAAACTTTCTGTAGTACAATAGGGAAGTTCTTGACTATCAAAAATGTTTTGTTGATATTCAGAGGAATGGCTGCCTGCAGAGTGAGGCCTGTATTCCAGCAATGGTATACAATGCTGGGACATATCCTGTTGTTGTGTAGGAGAAAACTGATAATTCTGGGACATTTCCAGCATTGGAGAAGAGCTGCTTGTTTGGAAAGCTTGGTATTTTTGAACAGGTGAAAAAGCTCCAGCCATCTCTTGATATTGGTGTTCCCCTGGAGAGTTGGGATTGACCATACTGTGAAGCCAGCTAACTTGTACAGTGTTCAAAGACACTGGGCTGGATTCATTCTTAATATTGATAATATTCTGCAGCATATCACAGCTACTATCTTGCTTAGGCTCATTATTATGGGGATCCTCCATATTATTATCCATGGAAGTTGGTGTCTGCGGAGGTGTCTGCAAGATAAGGGGTACACATTTTAAACTGATCTGATTGCATCTTAGAAGACAGTTGGAAGCTTTACAGCAATGTGAGAATGACTATGAAAAGCTCCATTAAAAATACTTACCAAGAACTGAGGTTGCAAAATAGTTGTTCGTTTGTAATACCCTCCATCAGAAAGACAGTCTGAAGCTTTTCTTTTCCGATTATGAGTCAATATATTTTTTAGTTCTACTGAAAAATAAGCAGAATTTGTAAGTCTATGGCACAGCCCATTTTTTTCTAATATTCAAAGACAAACTGAAGGAACAAATGAGACAAAAATCTGTACCTGTGTATGGATCATATTTCATCGATGTTCCTTGTGCCTATTTAAAAAAAAGAAAATGTTTTTCTATAAATAAAGTACTCTATTTTATCATGAGAATAAAATATTTACAGAAATATAAGTATACCTTATGAACTTTTAATATGTTTTTCAGAAAAAGCAAAATTTTTAATTATAGTTTTTCCAACAATTATATTTTACTATCTTCTTTCTCATTCTACAGTATTTATTTCAACCAAAAGACATTAAAACTTATGAATATCAAAAGAGGATAAAAATGTAATCTAAGAGTCCATGTATTTCAGTATTATATAAAAGCATAAGCAGCAGCTTAGAAAGTCTGCATATGCAGATATCTTACAAACATTCCTCATCATCACTGGGTTACATACTTAGTTTTTCAGATCTTTATTAATTTCATTTAATGAACAGAAAACTTTTCAATATAAAATTGAGGTATGTTAACAATTAATGTAATTAAAGTGAAGGATAATTAATGAATATAATTAATTATTTTGTACAATTCACTAATTCTAACATTTGAAGCAATGCCCAATATGGTACATTTGTGCAATTATAAAGAAAATGCTTCGGATAACAGAGATCCCTAGAGGCTGAAAATGTTCTGATATAGAAGGCTAAGACATGGCTAAGAAGATGCTTGTTACTTCCTTTTAACTCTCATTTTAATATATTGTTCAAAATTGCTGGTCCTTCTATAGAAAAAAAGTGTACATGTATGCAGAAAAAAGAAAACTTTGAATAGGAAATCCCAAAATATCCTAATACAGTTTGAAATATTCACTACCACAGAATGCTGAACAGTCGTTGGGAAGAATACAAACATCTGGAAGAAGAATCTATTTGGAATCTGGAATAAGATTATTGTGTTGCAAGTGCCACTTAGTCTAAACTAAATTAAAACTTTAAAAGTGGTTCACTTCCCTCTTTTAGGCAGAATAAGGAATGGGTGATATTTACCAACATTGAAAATTACCAATAAAAAATATTGAATTAAGACTGAAATCTGCTCACTAGAACCTTCAGTGATTTGAGCAAATGCATGCTTTACATTTTCCCATTAAAAAAAAAGAACGATCCATTTTTAGGTATCGTTTATAATTCTCATTCACTGACAAAGTATTTTTTTAAGTGCATTTGTTTATTAAAGGTCATGCAAGCTATTGCATATCACCATAATGAAGATGTTAATTATCTTCTATATAAAATTGCTGCAAATATTGTATTCACAAATAAAATATTTGTTTTGATTCTGAACAACACTTATGAAAACATACAACACAGACCTTTAATTCCTCAGTTCCATAATCTGTGGACATCTGCTTGCTATTTCTAAGATGCAACAACAATTCTTTCACGGAGTTTTTTACACGAACACCTTGGAAAGGTCCTCTTTGTTGCTTTCCTCCCCCCATATGTTGCTCACCTGTTAAAGACACAAAATTAAAACAAAAGCATGACACAAACAGAAGATTTAAAAGAAAAGGAGAATTCATATAAATTTATTCTAAACAAGAAACAACTAATTACTAATTAATATTTCAATTAGATTTCCCCCTAAAAATGCATCAAAATAGTAATCCTCCCGCTCCCCTTGAAATTATCTTTCTCCCAAATCCAGATATTCTAAAAATTTTGAGTTGTGATTATCAAAAGTTTTATGAGCAACCTAGAGAATCCATTTCCCCCATCCCGAAAACTTTTCAGGCTTCTGCAGGGAAGGGAGGAATGTCAAAATTCTTATCACTTTACCTCGGCAAGCTTTCAGCGGGCTTAAACAAGCAACACAGGGAGAAAAGCCTGGAGCAAGTTTTGAGAGATAAACCCATGCATTTAGCCATATTCATGGGGATGTTATATAAAATCATTTATAATTTTAGGAATTAGTAATATTGCAAAGATGGAGAAATCAGAAATCTGTGAATTCGAGTCCTGTCGTAGGCACAAAGCTAGCAGGGTGATTTTGGACTACACATTGTCTCTCAGTCCTATTAAAAAAACTACTTTTGAAAAACCTTGCAAGCAAACAGCAGAGACTTAAGCAGACAGTCTCCAAGAAACAGACACAATTACATAGAAAGAAAGAAAAAAGACGGAGAACCCCTACCTAATATTTTAATAAAAGTGGAGAAATTCCTACTCAAAACTATTAAGCATTAAAATAACTTTGTATAAATAGATGTTCAATATTACTTGCATAAGTCCACTCCATAGTTAAACCGCTTGTCAAAAATATATTCTTCCATAAGATTAGCTGCAAATATTTTATTCACCCTCTTAATGACATCAACCCTTTAAACACAATGTATTTTGAAGCATAAAAAACAGAAGTGAAAAGAGGAACAATAATACACATCAACCCAAGAGAGAAGCAGTGATCTAATTTTAAAAAGTACAAATCAGATTTTCTACATTGTCTACCTATTATTTAAATTTTTTTTAAAAAAAACTAAATTCCCACAGATTTGAAATTTCTAGATAGGAAAAGCCACCCCAAGTTAAGAATAATTTCCCCTTTAGACGTTTTAATAGAATTTCCCCCATCCCATCAAAAGAAAACTAGACGTATATGAACACATCTTTAAGGATTCCATTTCAGAACAGAAAGAAAAGAAATCAAGAATCAAAGCAGATTAAATACTTCCGTCAATAAGATTACACAAAGCAAATTTCATAAAAATGTAAGGTAAATATGTAATACAATATCAAATGACAATAGTAGCAGCAAAATTTATAAAAGTTAATTGGTGAAGGACTTCAAATTAATATATCTTTGTAAAGATATACAAGATAGACTAGCTTTAATATAACTCTTGTACAAAAGGTTAAAAAATTGTGATATTGAAAGTCTACAAAATTTCGCTATTTCCCAAATATTTTAAAGGAAGGAAAGCTTTACTCAAAAACCTTGTACAATCAGATTTCATTTGTCATTGTACAAATTAACCATAAATGTTCTCAGTCACATACCACAATTTATATCATGAGCATAAAAATTATAAGTAACATCAGGAAGTCCCCTAATTTGAAATTTTAGTCTTGAAATAGGAAAGCTAGCATTGTTTAAAAAGCTGTCTATATATTTGGCAAGCTGTTTTAGCCATATTGGGCTCTATAAAACAGATAAATAAAAGTGAAATGTTTCCACTGAAAGCAATATAATAATATATTAAGATACTATTCAATACCAGATAATGAATATCTGAAATTTCTGGTAAATTTAAATCCACAAATTTAGCTCAACATATATTTTTTTTCATTTTCTCTGTACAACAGACACCTTCTGCTAATTCTGACAGCAGCCATGAATGTCATACAGCAGGGGAAGGAGACACCGTGAATTCTATAACTTTAAAAACACATTTCACAAATGATTCCGTGAAAGAAGCCAAGCAATTTTAGAGGCTAACCAACACAGGGAATCCAGAGCATTTAGTATATATAGCGTTATCCATTAAAGTATTTTGATGCTTAAAAATTAACTATTTGGCATTTTATTCAATTATTATTCAATCCAACTGTTTTCTAACAGCTGGGTAGCTGCATAGATGGCGATTGGCAACATAAAAAAACCAAGAAATCCTTCATTCTGGACATCCCACTAAATAGGTTATCCAAGGCCATTCTTTTTAACTAGCTTATAAAATAAGCTTGTATGTGACATATTTTCCACAGGAAGTATGAACCTGCTCCGACATACCGATGAACCAAATTCTTCATTCTCACAGCTCATTTAGATAACCAGAACGTGTGAGTGAGAGAGTGGGAGGGAAATTGAGAGAGAGATGCAAATACCAAAGGTGCTTTTTCAAGAGGCAACTGAACTTCGTTTTTTTCTTTCTTTGAAGACATTTCTCTTCTCATCCAAGAAGCTTCTTTCTTCAGCTCAGTGAAAACAAAGTCCAGTTGCCTCTTGAAAAAGCACCTTTGGGACAACCGAGAATCTCCATAGACACATCGGTGCAAACGTGTGCACACATTCACCACGACAAAGGGGGCAGGTAGAAGAAGACATTATATAAACGACCCTCCCTAACCCGTCCGAATGCATTGCACAACTCCTATGACTCCCAAGGCGATTAGGAACTGTAGTCCAACGTAACTGAACGGCTACATGGAGATTGCTGGGACAGCCATCCATCAACCACCAGATCGAAAACCTTAGGAAGAGGACCCTAACCCAGTCGGAGCAGTGGGAGTTGCTTTTGGGAAAGCCGCAGTAAACGCCCTCCGCCCAAAACTTAATTCAGAGACTACGCCGGGTCGGCCGCCCGGTGTGTATATGTACCTTCTCCAGTCGGGCGACCGGCGTTCCGGGAATAGCGCCTCTTCCTCGCGTAGTTGCCGTCGGTACCGCCATTGGCCGAGGTCTCCGAGTCAGATCCAGGGGATCCCGGAGCGGAAGGAGTGGGCGAGCAACTGTCCTCGCTGGAGCGAGGGGAGGCGCCATAGAAAAAGGCCAAATTGAAGGGGCTGCTCAGAGAGCCGGAATCGCCATCTAACCCAACGTCCCGGCTGTTATCCACAATCATGGCCGGGATCGCGCAGGAGCTAGCAGGAGACAGAAACTGGCGCCAGCAGCTGAGCCCAAAGCCAACGCCTTGGTCTCAGCAGACCGAGTGAAACGTCAAGAGGCGGAAGCGGGCGCGGCAGCTTTATAGCGGTCTGCGAAGCGGAGGTGCAGGGGGAGGAGGGGGAGGAGAGGAAGGCAGGGCAAAGCTCTCCGACCGCCCGAAGGGCAAGTTGGGCGCGGCTGCGTAGAGAAGCGGCAGTTCCAGTAAATGTATTGCGTAGGTTTGGTCAACAGCGTTTGTTCTCTAGTGACCTGGTAACTTAGGAAACCTGGGATGAAGCAGAATCCGCGGACGGGCGGGCGGGAGAAACGCTTCTGGCAATGAAGCCATGTAGCCAAGGCCTACTAGTTCGATTTTCTTCGGTATTAAATTGGCCAGCGCTTGTCTTCTGTCTCATTCTGTTTCTAAATAAACGAGCGGCAGCTCAGACTTGCGACTTCTTAAGAGTTAAAAAAAACCAACACCAGGCGAAGGAGTCGTAACTTTGACCTTCTGGATTGTAACAGCGGACAGAAGAAAAAACGATCAGTTGGCAGATCTGGCTTGCTAACCGAAACGGAAGTGAATGAAAACTGACCCCCCTCTGTTCCAAAGGGATGACTCCCTTTAGTCTTGTTCAGGCCGGGAGAAACAGCAGTAGAGGCTTCGACACAAGACTCCCGCTTGAAAAATACGGGAATTGCTCTCATTCTTAATTAAATTAACAGTAACAGAGTTGGAAGGGACCTTGGAGGTCATCTAGTCCAACCCCCTGCTCGCAGGAGACCTATTCTAGGGATTGGAACTGCCGAACTTTCTGATCGACAAGCTCAGCGTCTTAGCCACTGAGCCACCTAATGGCTTTTTAGCTTTTTGCCATAAATTACTAATCAGAAATTCCTGGTTTCCTGTGGGCCTGTTTATCAGCCCCACCTTGCCTCGAAGAAGACTGAATTCCTGTATAATGCTAAGCTACAGTTGTCTGAACCATGGAGGGCAGGCTTCCCTTATTTCAAGAAGTTGAAATTGGAACAAAGATCGTGAATCAGTGGGCATGTGCTGGCAAAGGCATGCTTTTAGGCCTTGGTATTCCTTTGCTTGGACAGAGTTTGTGCCTCCCTATTTTCTGGGGCTTTTCTCTAAACTGGCTGGGGTGCCAAGTACTGATGTCCACACCAGCCTTATTGAATAAACAGCAATTAGCTGGGTTCTTTCCCACATGCTATGGTGGAATCATATTAACCTTGTCACAATTCAGCATAGTTTATTGGATATAGTAGGCCATGGAACTATTAGCTATAGTCTGGCAGCAATTTTTTAATGCCCCAGAACCTGGCATCATTCTTCTACTTGCCTGCAGTGTGTGCCCTACAAAAGTTGTAATCAACTATTATTAAATATATATATATATATATTAAAGTATACAATTTACAAGTACAATTTTGCCTTTTAAGTTGTTTGTCATTATTGTTCTGCTATGTGTAGGACAATACAGTTTACAACACATGTGAAGAAAGGGGGTGACTTAAATTTCAGTTATGATTTCAGATGTCCCACCAAGTCTTCCAAATACCCACTCTGATATTTTCTTTCTTTTAGAAATTGGATTTGTCCTCCCTGATAGAGTAAGAAATGAATGGGATTCCACTGCTAAGATAACAGGATGATTTTCAAAGATGTAAATCTCCAGTGGGCACTCTGACAAATTGGAAAGGCAGCCTATACAATTAGATTTAGCTCATACAATATTAAAATGTATATATGTATGTATGTACTGCTCAAAAAGGAGGCAGGGGATGAACAGTGCAACCAAGATGGTTCTTCTCCAGAAAAGCACAGTATGATCATTATTTAAATGAGAGCAATGTATTTGTATGGCAGAACCTTTTATTGCTGTCCCTGGAACCCTCAATGGTAATTCTAGAAACTTATCAGCATGATTTCCTATAATTTTGAAGCAGTGAATATTCAAAAACAAGTCTGTAAAATAAGTTTATAAAAAAACCTCCTCAAAACTTAAAATTCTTCAAACAAATAGGAAAAATGTAGAAATCCTGACCCTCTCTATATATATTGTGAGATCATGATTATGTGAAAATATTGCATTCAAATTTTAGCAACTAAACCAGAAATGGATTGCTCCCGGTTCGGCCAAACCAGTAGTGGAATTCAGGCCTGGGTCACAGAAACGGCAGCGATCCAGGCCTGCCACACCCCCAAACTGGTTCCTGGGCTGCCACCATTTTGGATTTTAGTGACTGCGTAGTGCACTGTTCACTGTAAATTGTTCTGCGCGTGCACAGAGAACAATTTACATTGAATAGCACACACGCACAGAGTGCGCCTGACTCGCGCAGGTTGCAAACCAGTAGTAAAACTGGCAGCAACCCACCCCTAAACTAGACACTCTTCCCAATAGCTATAATTGCATAGTTATATAGTGTTGCAAGGAAAGAAAAAGCTACATTCTAAAACATGTCTTCAGACATATACCAGGAAAAAGTGTATTTACAAGATTTATAAATGACCTCATGCCAGGGTTAAGGCAGTGTTCAAAATCAAACAATGATAAAAAAAACAAGCGGTAAGCACAAAAGGCAATAAAGATATGGAACTTCCTTTACCTGCTTAATAACCCTCAGCTCTCCAGAAAAACAAGATTTTAACCAGTGTTCTATAAAACTGTTTCTCAACCTACCTTTAAGACATATAGACTTCAACTTCGAGAATTCCTTACCTACGTTGGCTGGGAATTTTGGGATTTGAAATCTACATATCAAAGTTCCCAAGGTTGAAAAACATTTTTTAAGAAGCACACAAGAGTAGAGATTGGTCTTTTTAGGGGCAGGCTGTTCCAAAGGAATACAAGAACAAACTGATGAAGTGAGCCAAGAGTTCCCACCAATGGAAAACAGCAATCTTACTATGCAACAAACTCCAATTTTGCTCCAGTTTCATGCAGACAACAGAATGAAAATTATCCAGTTGTCAAAATCAAGTAATGTTATGAGGTAAATCCAGAGCCAGTTTCAATGTATACCCAGCCTTCATATGAAAATGGCCTGAAACTTAGCAAAAGTAATGATGAATTATTTGGAAATCTGAAGCCAGAATAAAATAAAAAATTGTACTTTTTAATGCAACTATTCGTATTACAGCCTAAATTGCTCCACACATCATTAGTATGATTCATATTTATTTCACAATTCACATGTGGAACCAACTCTTGGCTTTGAGATATCTTTTCCATCATTCCACTTGATTATAAGCTTGAAATATCAAAACTTTAAAGTATAATAAAAATAAATAATAAAGATTTAATTTATAACACAATTTGTAAATTTATGTAATTTTTGAACAGATTTCCAAAACTTTGTACATGATAATACATTTAATGGCATGGCCCTAAATAATATAAGCCTGGTTGTTTGAGACCCTAAATCAGGCCTGTCAAACTCAAGTTGTGGTGGCGTATTGGGACTTTTTTCCCCCTTCGCTAAACTCGGCA